AATAGTCTATATACAGTCATGCATAACTTAATGGCAACGATATGCTCCAGGAAATGTATTGGTTGAATCGGTCATTGTGTGAACATCACAGAGTGTAATTACATAAATGTCAATGGTGTAGCCTACTACCTTAGCTATATGGCATAGCATTATGTGGTACATGACTCTATATTTAAAGACATACACAGAGAGACAGAATATGGAGAAGGAGAGAGAGAGGAGGAGGAGGAGGAGGAGAAAGAAGGGAGGGAGGGAGAAAGGAAAGGGAGGAGGAGAGACAAAGAAAATGAAAGAGAACCTGGAAACATGAAGCCACTTTTATAAGATGCAAAAGCACTGGACTCTATTTTAGCAACATGTGAGTGCTGAAGCAGAGGCCTTTTTAGGTTGGAAAGCAATGGTTATTCAGGCATGATCATTATTTTGATTTAAACTAGTGTGAAATATGAGAAACAGGGATGACTTGGAGAACTATATATTATTTTAGGTGGGGTGTCCACATGGCTAAAATAATATTGATTCACATTCTGAGAAAGTAATTTCTTTTTCCAATGTCTTTCAATCTCTCTGAAACTACCACAGACACGGTGTTAGATTGGTGTCTCTTAAATACTTATCAACAGTGGCTACTCTTTCTTTTTAACAAAGAGAGGGCAACCTTGGACTCAAAGCATTCACAGACAACAGTCTCTTGTCAGAATTTCATTATACTTTTGTTTTTGCTGTGTTTGGTTTTCTGGTTACCTCTTCCTATTTATAGAAATTCCTGCTAATTTTTCATGTATAGTCATGAAGTAAGTTTTTCTAAATAAATTTCTTTTAGGTAAAGGAGTGAATCAATTTCAAAATACTGCAAAGATAACAGCACAGATGGGACATAAGACAAAAATTCTGAGGATGTTTGTCTACAGTTGAGAACACGCTAGATGGATGGGTCATCCATCAGTCAGCGCCACAGATGCAGAATGCCAGCCACGGAAAACAGACTGCTGAAACATCAGCAGCAGTATCCTCCAGACACACAAGTGTGTGGTGGAAAAACCATTTACTCCATGGAAACCCAAGACCCTGGACAGCGGAAGAGGAAGAGGGGACAGTTGTTGCCAAAACAGGACTAGAAACCAAACAGGTTACAAAGATAAGGCAAGGCCAGTGGGCACTTTCTTGAGGAATAATCCACCAAAACCAGAATGACTACTGAATCGAATCCTTTCCTGCTCAATCAGAAAAGGGGTGGTTTTCTTATGCACAAAGGCAGCCAATGGCAACTTCCTGAGTGATAGAAAGTGATAGATCAGTATTGCAATTCTTGGTTTTGAAGTAACATGATCTGTAATTATATGCTAAAATTTAAACTTTTAATTTGATTTTTGTGGTTCATTTAAGTTTCCTCAACTCAGTGATTCTCAATTAAGGAGACAATTTTCCCCCCAGACTACTTGCATGTTGAAGATTCTAGAATGTCCCATGTGGGAAGAATGGGGGAGGGAGAGCAGCTCTCTCTCACCTCCCACTCAGCTAAAACTACTGTTTTATTGATAGTGTACCATGCTCCTCTGCAGGAGACAAACGAGGAAAGATTCAGAACTATTTCTTCAGTGACAGCTATAATGTCAACTGTCTTCCATGGGACCACAGCACAGGTATACAAGCAGTGCAGAAAAAGGAGGACATCTGTTTACTTTTCAGCATCCTTAATCGATGGGGAGAAGTTATGGTTTAGGAAGAACTGTTCTCAGCTCTGTAACAATTCATAAAACGGCCAGAGTAGAGGTTATAGGGTGTCTTCATGAAAGGGAAAGAGATAAAGCAAACAACCAAGAGGTCAAAGACCTTGCACCATCAATCAATGAGGACTCTCTGAAAACTTTAAAAAGAAGTACGATATGAATAATAAAAAACCTTGTAAGAGCACATACCTCAACCATGGATCCTAGGTAATTTAGGTAAAACCATAAAAGAAGTTACCCCTCAAAACAGCTTTTTAGGCACAAAGTTTCATTTCAGCAAAGAATGGATGTCTTCCGTTACGGCGATGCAGTCTTCCTTTTCCTCCCTGCCTTCCTCTGTCCCTTCCATCCTGCCTCTCTTTCCCCCTCTGACCTCCTCTTTTCTAGGTTCTTGCCTACCTCCCAACCCACAGCCACTAAGGGTGATGGGGTTTACAGGGCATTCCTGGTTTTCACACTGCTTTCTCCAAAGATTCATGACTGCGTTGGGGCAAAGCTTGCAAACCAAGACCCCCTTTCATCTCAGGGTGGTGGTTTAAGGGTGCAGATTCTGCAGTTGACTGTGATACTGCAAATTCTGGCTTTTCCACTTACAACACTGTATGACACTGCGCAAAGAGCTTCATTTGTGTGTGTGCCTCAGTGTCCTCATTTATAAATTGAGGATAACAGAATCACCTATCACTGCACCTTGCAGGGATTCAACAGACGAGTTCATGCAAAGTTCCGAGAAGAGTGCTCCACATAAATTAACACAATAAAATTGCTAGCTTTACATATTTGACCTTATCCATAACTGTTTCTTTGACTTATGAGTTCTACTGCCTGCCCACTAAAATCTGAAAATAATTTTGCTACTATTGTAGATGTTTGTAGTTATTATTTAAATGGGGATACCATATCATTTTTTAAAAAAGTATTTATTTGACATGCAGAGTTAGACAGTGAGAGAGAGAGACAGAGAGGAAGGTCTTCCTTCTGTTGGTTCACCCCCTAAATGGCCACCACAGCCAGAGCTATGCCCATCCGAAGCCAGGAGCCAGGTGCTTCTTCCTGGTCTCCCATGCGGGTGCAGGGGCCCAAGCACTTGGGACACCCTCCACTGCCCTCCTGGGCCACAGCAGAGAGCTGGACTGGAAGAGGAGCAACGGGACTAGAACCCAGTGCCCATGTGTGATGCCAGTGCCAGCCCCTATTATTTTACCCAAACTTTTCATCTGTTTTCTGTTTTCCATCTCAAAATAGCTTCATTCTTCAGAATATAGTACATTGCTTCCCCATAATTCGCTAGGTCAAATCATTTTTGCTTCTGTCTTTTTCCAACCATTCTGTGATTCGGTGGCTTCTCTTAGACTCCTCTCATTAGCATCACAACATCAGAGAGCAACCTTTATCTTTTACCCAGAAGGAAACTTGAATTCTTCCCAGTGAGTGATCTTACTCAGCTTCAATTTCTTGCTCTCCAACCTAACCCTTTCTCAATATATTTTGGAATTTTAAACAGGATGATCTTGAGCTCCTACCATGAGACCCACACCCCTTTTAAAAGACTCTTGAGGGGGCCGGCACTGTGGCATAGCTGGTAAAGCCCTGGCCTGCAGCGCTGGCATCCCATATGGGAGCCTTTCGAGTCCAGTTGCTCCACTTCTGATCCAGCTCTCTGCCATGGCCTGGGAAAACAGTAGAAGATGGCCCAAGTCCTTGGGCCCCTGTTCTCTCTCTCTCTCTCTCTCTCTCTCTGCCTCTCGTAACTCTGCCTTTCAAATAACTAAATAAATCTTTAAAAAAAAAAGTATTCTTGACATTCTGCCACCTGTTAAGTCTTTGAAGAAAGGAAGTCTTTGGGCTCCACTCTTCCCACCACACAGTGGACTTCTGAGACTAGTACATTCATTTGTTCATTCATTCACTAAAGTTTTTCTGAGTCTCTCTGTAGGTTCAGGCCTTGTGCTGGGTTTGAGGAATTACAGGTTCAACGCCAGGTTGTTAAATTACAGGACAGTGCACAGTGTGTAAGGGCTAGGGTCACGCTCACACCCAGAGTGTTGGCCAGGAGGGCAGCTCCTCCAGACTAGACATCATGGTCAGGAGAGGCTTCCTGACCTGGATCTTCAGGTTTCAGCTTGAAGATACGGGGAAAGTTCTAGGCAGAGGCCCAGAATGGGGGGAGGCGGACAAGGGCAGCAGTGACGGCAGGGGACTTTGTGGGAATGTCAGTTCTGTCCAGCAGGAGTGGGACGTCAGAGAAACTAGCAGTGGCTGCATCGTGAAGGGTGCTGTGGGCTGTGCAAAACCATTTCAATGTGGAGGTCACGGGGAACCCCTGGAGAGCTTTCATGAAGAAGGTGGTAAGGGCACAGTGTAGTCTGCAGTGGCAGCATGGAGAATGAAGTCCTGCAGTTAGCCCAGGGGAGACAAGAAAGGAGGGTCTCTCCGAGGGACGGAAACACACCGCAGTGCCAAGTACAGTCGCTGCTGCTTCATCCACATCTTCTTCACGGCCTGCACTCCCTTACCTGGGCTTAAGCAGTCTAGGTGGTTTTATTATTTTTTCCTTCGGTCCTATTTTAACCTCTTCACTTCCCTTGGACTTTTCTGTAATTATTCTTCAAGTGATCATTGATTTAAATTTGTCAAGAAGTGTAAATTGTGTGTGTGTGTGTGTGTGTGTGTGTGTTGAGAGAGAGAGAGCAAGCAAGCGAGAGAGAAAGATTTAACAGCAGGTTTCCAGTTTGGTAATTTTTAACATGCAGATAAAAATGCATTTCATGAAATTTCATCTGTCTGTACCTATACCATGTTTATCACAAAGGAAATTTCCAAGTGCGCTTTTTTGGTGGGTGAGCTCCTCACAGCAAAGCCACCATACACATTACCCAAAGGGTCCATTTCTCAGAAGGACCCATGATTACATTTTTGTCAACTATTTGATCAATCAGCAGACCTGCCAAGAGAATTTCTCACCTAGAAAGACTAAAAAGAGAAATGCTTTTCTGAGGCCATTTTATTTGTTTATTACCACAGAGCAAACAACTCAGTCCTTGGGTTGCCTTTCATCTTATTCGTATCTGAAGAGAAACTAAGATTCGGGCAAAGTGCAGGGCGGGAGCGCACTGCCATCGTGCAAACCTGTTCTGGCACCTTCTCCTGCGTTGGGAAGAAGAGCCAAGGCTTGGGCAGCGGTGCCTTCCCGGGAGCGCGCGCACCCCGAACGCCCACCGCCCCGCCTCTGCCGGGGCCCTGGGCCCCTCTCCCCTCCCGGACACTCACAGCGTCAGCGTGCTGGACGGCAGCCTGGGGATGCGGTGGATGTCTTTGCAGGTGACTCTGAAGTCGTCCTCCTGGTGGCACTCGCACGTCGGAGACGGGCATTCCCGCCCCCGCGGGCGGCAGGGCAGGGCGAGCAGCAGCGCGAGCTGCAGCAGGGGCTGCGGCCTCATTTTCCGAGGGCCCCCGGGGCTCCCTCTCCACTCGTGCGCTATCCTCTCATCCTCAGTCCTCCGCGCCCCGGGAGTGGGACAGCTGGGAAGAGGGAGGGCGGGTTCGCAGGGGCTGTGACCTCACCGCCGAAGAGGAGGCTGGAGAGGGGAAGAAGAGGCTCTTCAGCGCTCCGCGTGCCTGGGCAACTCTCCACCCAACAAGCTTCTGCGCTTCGCTGGCCCTGGCCGGAGCCAGTCCGCCCGCCCCGTGTGTTCCCTGATACCCAACACCGGTCCGGGCGGTCCCCTCCGTTCCAGCCCGCCCCACGCGTTCCTCTGCTTAGTTCTCTCCAAAGCCTGATTCGACTTTTCCTGTGCCCTTGTCTCTAAACCCAAAGACCCGCCTTTCCCCAAGGGTGGCCTCGTCCTAAAAGCGCCACCCGCCCGGGAGTCACCTGCACGCGCAGTGGAACTGTCCCGGGGGCGCACCAACGTCCCGTAGAACTTCAGCTCCTGCCGTCCGGTCCGAGGCGGCCGCGCAGCCCTGGCCAACCTGCGGGGCGGCCAAAGCCGACGCGCGGCACCGCTGGCGGGTCCTCCCTACTCCCCAACTTCAGCGGCCACCTGGACTGCTCTGGGCCAGAGAACGGCTGGCCTGTCCCACACCGCAGCCGGCGGGCTTCGCGAGCGAGTCAGCTGGGCTCTGGCGCCATCTGCTGTGCAGGACCGGGACTGCAGAAGCAGCGCCTGGTACCTCGAGTGCTTGTCTGTCCAGGAATTTTATTGAGTCATATTTTCCCCCGAGGTGGGACGAACAAGAACATTTAAGTGGCACACTATTAGCTACTAATTGTTTACACAGAACCCAAAAAGGTAATTAAGTCGGCAGGCTTTTCGCCCAGTACTTCAGAGGCAGGCTAGGACACTCCTATCCCGTTATCTGCTGCCCCACTTCCAGCTTCCTGGTAGTGCGCACCCTGGGAGACAGCTGGTACTTTGGTCCCTGTCACTCACTTGGGAGACCTGGGTTGAGGTTCTGACTCCTGGCTTCACCAAATGTGGACGTTTGGGGAGTAAATTTCTCTCTCTTTCTCAGTTTTTTAAAAGGTAATTACAAGAGTAAATCTGTAATTTGCTTCTTAAAAGTTTCCAATTGCTTGATAGTTTTTCTTGATGTTAGAGGAATATCAACTCCTTACTTAATGGCATTGTTCCTTTCATATGAACCTTCGGGATGGGGAGAAAGCTAGGGTGATGGAGACCAAAATAAAGATTTTAGAGACTGGCTTGAAAAACATAGGCAGGAACATACAGGAATTCTATGTCTTAATTAGGTTGACATTTGTAAAAATTGATCAGACTCTATTCAAAGCATGTGCATTCCAATGATTAGAGAGGCTTTGTTCGTAATCATTGCAATCTGGAAACAAGCTAAGTACATGTTCCTCAACTAGGTAATAAACCAACACTGATACAGCCACACAATGGAATACCACTCTCCAATAAGAATGAGTGAACTGTCGATACCTCTACATGCTCACATGCTCACATCATGAATACATAATGTTGGCCAGCGCCGTGGCTCAATAGGCTAATCCTCTGCCTGTGGCGCCAGCACCCCGGGTTCTAGTCCCGGTCGGGGCGCCGGATTCTGTCCCGGTTGCTCCTCTTCCAGTCTAGCTGTCTGCTGTGGCCCGGGAAGACAGTGGAGGATGGCCCAAGTCCTTGGGCCCTGCACCCACATGGGAGAACAGGAGAAGCACCTGGCTCCTGGCTTCAAATCAGTGTGGCGCGCTGGTCGCAACACACCAGCCGCAGTGGCCATTGAGGGGTGAACCAACGGAAAAGTAAGACCTTTCTCTCTGTCTCTCTCTCTCATTGTCCACTCTGCCTGTCAAAAAAAAAAAAAAAAAAAAAAAAAAAAAAAAAAAAAAAAAAAAAAAAAAACCACCACCACCAACAAAAAAAATAGCATGACTACTATCAGCCACCCAGTACCTTTGTATATGGCAGTTGTATTCCCTTCTGTACTCTCACCCTTTCTAGATGAGGTGGGTTATTACAATCATGTCAGTGCTTAGAATAGCTCCACTCCAGAGTCTCTATAAGGATTATCCTGTCTAGGTGTTTAAGTTTGCTGTGACTCAAGTGTTTCTAATGAAACTACTCTAGAAAGTAGGTGTGGAATTAGTACCTTAGATCATAAAAGCTGGACAGTTAAGTTTCACCGGTGAAATCTTAGTTAAGACTCCTTGGATTTCAGTCAATGGAACTTGAGCTTCAAAAGGGAAATCATTACAAGGCAGCAAATACATTTTTTGTTCTAAGGATCTAGACAAAAAATGAAGTCCCAATTTTTGTGGAATTAATATTTTAAGTATCACAGTATAGATCAGCTAACACTGAGAATTTACTAGGAGCTAGGCCCTGGAATGAGTACTTCCCACATTAATTTATTCTATCGCCAGAACATCTCAACACATGAGGGACTATACTTATTGTCCACATTTGTAAGAGGGATGACTAAATAAGTGGCTTAGGACACTAGCTGATAAATATTACAGCTAAGGTTTGAATCCAAATGGTCTTGGTTAAAGCTGTATATTTAACTACCTCCAGATGCCTTTATCATATGATAGAAAACAAGTGTGTACAAGAAAAACAAGTGAGAATGATGAGGGACTGAAGTCAGGAATTTGGAAGTTGTCAGGAATGAGGGATGTAGTCTCATAGACTTTGGTGAATGCATAGTCTACTTCATGCTTTACTCATTCTTTCTCTCTGTCTCTCTTCTGTCTTCCTCTCTCTTTCTCTCCCTCCTATCAACCCTCCTTCCTCCCTTCCCCCACTTCCTCCTTCCTTCCTTTCACCTCTCCCGCTTTCTCTCCTCTCCAAATTAGATTTTTCACGTTCTTCAGGAATATAGATGAACATAGCCATCTTACAGTAACAACCTCACAGTTTTTAATTGCAAACCAAGATAATTCAGGTAGCAAATTGGAAACTTGAGTCCCGATTTTAAACTCCCACGGGCTAAGGAATCTGATTGGCTAAAATTGTTTCAGGTGTTCTACTTGTCTAATAATCCATGATCAGAGGAGTAGGGGTTTTCTATAATATAAGTAAAGCTGTGGAAGCTCAACGCCGTAGGTAGGATCATTCTCAATTGAGGGCAATGTGGGTGAGGTGTGTGAAAAATAGCTGCCCCATCTAGTGCAGTGGGAAATGACTGGTGACACTAATCCTGGAAGATGCAATCTGGGTGATATCACATATTATGGACTGAATTATATCCTCACAAATCCATTTGTTGAAACCCTTACTCATGTGCTTATATTTGGTGGGAAGGCCTTCAAGGAGGTAAATAAGGTTAAATGAAGTAATAAAACTGGAGCCCTAAATTCAGAATAACTGGAGTCTTTCTAAGAAGAGAGACAACTCTGCTTACATAGAGAAAAGCCCATTTGAGCAGAGAAGTTGGATATGTGCAAGTCTAGGAGAGAGGCCTCAGGAGAACTCTAAAAGCTGATCTTGAATTTTGGATTTCCAGCCTTCAGAACTGTGAGGAATAAATTTCTGTTGCTTAAGCCACCCCTCCTGTGGTATTTTGTTATGGCCGCCCTAGTAAACTGATAGATCATATAACTTCCATATGCACCTATTTACATGTTTGCAAAAGAAAGGTACTGCAAATGGAAATCCTTGAGGGTTTTTCAAACCCAACATTCAAGTGACACACCTTAACTGTGGTGTTAGGATCGAATGACATGCACCTGCTTTATTAGCTGAACATGGTCGATATCAGTTAAGTGTTATACAACAATTTTATGTAAAATCTATTTAGATGGCTTGAGCTTATTTTGTTGAATAGGTAAAGGAAAAAGATTCTAGGACTTCTTCATTGCATTTTTTTCTGGACGTCAGATCTGTTGATTGAGTTACCTTATAATAAACAGTTGCCGGGAATTTAATGTTTTTAAAAATTTCTTGATCATAATGAACTCAAATCTGATTTTGGCCTTTGGTGCTAGTTGTCTCTTCTGGTTTATGTTTGTTTAGTTAATATCACTTCAAAAAATGGGGGTCCCTGGAATTGGATCAAACTCCTTCAAGATGTTTGGACCAGCAGATTATGGGTGTATTAGCTTTTTTAGTAGTCATTTGTCCCACAGTTGATCAAATATAATTTCCTTAGGAGGTTTCTCTTTTATGCTTTTCCATAGAAACCTATGCAGTGTTCTATTATCCAACTTTGCAATAACTTATTTATTGGTCTGTTTTCCTTACTTGACTATGCTGAGCAACTTGTGGCCAAGCACTATGTTGTTTATTTCCTCGTTATCATTACATGTTCAGCGTCTAAGCCAAAGTCTGAATTCTGGAAAGATGCAGCATATGATGCAGAATTAGGTGAACAATTTAATTGTTTTGAAAAAATTAAAATGTTAACAAACAGATTATTATGCTTTTGCATGCATACGGGGGAAATTTTATAGCTATTCTGAATTCTCTTAATCTCTGACAGGTGGAGTATATTCTTGAGTTACAATTTTGACCAAGCAACTTGAAGACAGATGCAATATGTAGGTAGATCTTTAGAATACTTATGTTCAGTCCATATAAGGAAATAGCCTTTACCTCTCAGTGTTGAACAGAAAAAAAGATATTTGATAGTTTTGCTGCAGCAAATTTGTGTACTGACTACTTGGGTTGTGAAAGAGAGAGGGAGGGAAGAAATGAAAGGGAGGCAGAGGGAGAAGTTTGAGGGAGAGATGAAAAGGAAAAAATTTTTGAAAGTTTAGGTTCCTTTGCCTAAAGGGCTAAGAAAGGAGGACCTGTTGGGCAATGGTCATTTCAGTACAGAACTGTTGGAATAGGGAACCTGTGTCATGTAAATAATCTAACTCTTCTTGAGGCAGACAGGGACTATTCACAGATAAGGAAAATTTGATTTTAGCGTGGAGGAGGGTAGGGTCAGTGTTGTCTTACCCCCCTGCCCAGAGTGGAGGTAGGGAGCATCTTATGTAATTTGATTTTTACTTCTTAGCTTTTTCCAAGTTCGGTTCTTTGTTGAGGTTTTTATTCCCTCTTCGTGCCTGAGACTGACACCTCTTAGGGGAAAATATTTCTACTTTGTTGTAGGAGTGAGGAGAAGACGCCCTATGCTGAAGGTAGCAGCAGTAATGAGTTGACAGCCTCATACCCGCCTTTTGGTTTGCCATGAATGAGTTACATGATCTTAGGCACTTACCCTTTCTAGATCTAAAATGTTTGACTAGAGAATCTTCTCTGGTCCTTTCCAGTTCCCAGAACTAGGGAGCTTTTGGAATAAGACTCTGGGACCTCATATTCCAGGGGTTTTCATCTTTCCCTGTTCTCCACTTTATAAAATTACAAGCAGGACAAGACAGCATTCTAATTCACTTTCTGTTTGGAATTCGCCTGTTACACAGGACACTGGCCCTTTAAAAAAAATAGCGCAGGGCAAGAGGGACCCTGGAGTCCGCTAATCCAGCTTCTTCCGGGAAAGTCACCTGAAGGCCACACGCATGGTTTTCTGGGACGTGTAGTTTCTCTTAGGCCGCTCTCTCTTGGTGTCTCGTTGCCCTTTGGAGGAAATGGACTACAATTCCCAGAGGGCCAAGCGGCAGCAGCGGGGTTCCCGCACTCTCTCAGCGGCTGGGCGGCTAGTTCAAGTTGCCATAGCGGCGAGTCTGGGGAGGATAGAGTCGGTTGCGCCGCAGTGTTTGGTCAGTTGCACCTTCTAGGTGACTGGAAGCGGCGGGAACTGGGTAGGGCCTCGGCCATGAAAGGGCGCTAAGGACCCGGAGTCAGCCCCTGTCTCAGGTACCTGCCCTCACCGCCCCTTGGCTTGTTGTCTACCACTTCCCTGTCTTGCTGGAGACGTTTTAGGTCCGTCTTCCTGATGTCTCCCGCGTGGGAACACCGGCGCTTCGCGGAGATCTGGGGTGGGGCTAGGGACGGGGGGCTAGGGACGGGAGGCCCCTCGTCGGCGCAGGTGTGCACTGTCAGGTCCCTGCGAATTTTCCAGTGAATTTGGGCTGTGTGGTGCTCCCTTGGAGGGCGCTTGCCCTGCCGCCGCCACCTGTGGAGGTTTAGATTCCTTTTGGACTCGTACTGTGGGTTTGCTGGCCTGTCTTGGGTATAGCTTGGTTTTTGTACCTGTGATGGAGCGACAAAGTTTGCTGGGCTCGGGGATCTGGTTTCAGGGACCTGCTTTTCTCCTGTGCCAACAAGAGAGTTAGGCTACACCCTAGCTGTTACTAGGCACTTCAGTGGTTTCTTAAGACAACCTGCTTTTTCAGCCACAGCTGCATCCTTTGTTGGTTTTGATGGCCCCGGTGTCTGAGGCAGACCTCTGATGAAAGCTGAGGGTGATGCTTCGTGCTGTGGGTGAAGTGTCTAGCACAGGGTGAGGGCTCAGTGTCTGTTACTTGTTTTCGTTAATTTTGCAGAACAGTGTTGTCTTATGGAAATATAATGTGGGCCACACAGGTAGTTTTAAATTTTGTAGTAGCTACATTAAAAAAAAAAGTGAAAGGAAACTGTTTGACTCAATGTTAATCATTTATTTAGAAGAACACATCAAAGCTTAACATGTAGTAAATATAAAATGTATTGAGATATTTTACTTTCTTTTTAAAAGAATGGTGGTAAGTCCTGGGAAACTGGTGTTTAATTACAGCAAATGTCCATTTCAGGTGTCCAGATTTCTCCAGCTCTGTAGCCACATGGGGCGAGGGACTTCCGTATTACATAGCACCTACTGGAACTTTCATTGGTATGGAGAACTTTGGTTGTGCCAGTGACTCATCTCGTGGGGTGACGGTAGCTGCTTTGTTGGAAGAGTGCCGTGTGTACCACACCTGCGTCCTTTCAGCATGTCTTTTCTGGATCACTTTGAACTATCTTCCAAAAGTTATTTTGGCTAACTTTTCCAGAATCTTCTCTTTTTTTTCTTGAAATGGCTTGTGTATGTATTCCCAATTTACTTTTTATGTGGAGAACTACCAATTCTCTAGATCACTGTGTGGATTCTTACAGCCAAGTCACAAAGAGTGGAAAATATTACTGTTTATAGCTCTTTTCTGTGACCAAAGATATTTTACTTCCATTTATTTATTTGCAAGACTAAGTATGGTATGGACTGGGCAGCTTATATTTCCTATAGGAGGGTTGAACGGGCTTAGAAATACAACCAGGCCACCAGATTCACAAGTAACATGTTGATTTCATTACCTGGCTTCGTTTATCGACTGGCAGATAGGGTCAGGGACAGTAATTTCGGCCTGCCTTGGGCTGCACTTCCCAGCGAGGCAGGATTTCACCAGCCCGGTGAGCGGTTAGGCATGGATAGAAGTCACCATGAGGAATATGCAGGCCAGGCTCTGAGATGTGACACAGTCTAGTGAGGTCACATGTGTGGCTAACCCTGGGCTCATTTTTCTTGGTATGTGATGTGCACCATAATCTGTGCACAAGGGAGGTGATCTAATTTTTCTGTTTTATTGGTGACACAACTCAAAGCTGAGGGTATGTTTTACCCCCTTGTTTCATTTATCTGTAGGTGGTTTGGGGAAAGTGTAGGGGCGACCCAAGATCATCTACTTGACTAGGCCTTTTGCCTTGAACCTCATGAAGAGATGATAGGAGGCAGACATGTGTGCCTCAGAAGAGCACTGAGCTCAGAGGAGAGCAACACGGAGTTTTGGGGGTGTGCTTTGTAAGTATGCTTTCTCCCCAAGTTTCTGGGATAATGTTTTTTTCATATTTATAGCAGAAAAGTCTATTCAACACATAGACTTCTAGAGTCAAGAGGCCCCTTTCTAATATGTAGTAGAAAAATAAAGTATGGTTGTGTATCCATGTTAGAAAAATCCAGGTGAACAAAATAGCTGTTGAAGTGCCTTTTATAAACCTAACAAAAGCAACAATGATGTACTAGTTACTGTTAGACCAGTGCTTTTTTTTTTTTTTTTTTTTTAAATTTATTTATTTGAAAGGCAGAGAGAAAAGGAGAGACAAGGGGCGGGGGAAGAGAGAGAGATCCTCCATCAACTGGTTCACTCTTCAGATGTATGCAATGGCCAGGCCGAAGTCAGGAGCCAAGAGTTTCATCTAGGTCTTCCATGTGAGTGCAAAAGCCCATGCACTTGGGCCATCTTCACTGCTTTCCCAGCCCGTTAGCAGGGAGGTGGAATGGCTGAGACTTGAACTGGTGCCCACGTGGATGCTGATGTCGGAATGCCACAACGCCAGCCCCTAGACCGGTATTTGAGAACCTCTTTTGTACCAGGCACTGTGTTAGGTATCTTTTACAGGTGTTATATTTATTTCTCTTGTTATGCTTATCTTAATTTTATAGAGGAGGCTATTGAGGTCCAAGTAGGTTATTTGATTTGCCTGGGATTCTGGACTTGAAAGACTGGTCTTTATATATATGTATAAGTATATATACTTATATATAAATGCTTATATATATTTATATATATTTTAGTTTATTTTCATTTTATTTGAATGGCACAGAGACAGAGAGACAGAGGGAGAGAGATCTTCCATCTGCTTGTTCACTCACTAAATATCTACAACAACAAAGCTGCAACAGCCAGGCCAGGCCAAAGCCTGGAGCCCAGAACTCCACCTGGTTCTTTCTGGCTAGACTGGAAGCAGAGTAGCCTGGACCAAAACATCTTAAGGGGTATGGAACCTTTATGCCATAAGTCTGTGCCCAGAAAGGTGGTCTTTATTCCTGGGTCTTTTAACTCCAAATCGCAGTCTCACCCACTGTGGGGTGGGGCTTATTGCTGTTTGTAATTGGCTTGTATTGGGATTTGATTTACACTTAGCATTTTTTTCCAAGATATTATTGTTCTTATGTTATTATTGAGGTAAGAGTTTTAAGAGTTTGTGATAAAATGAGCATGGTCAACGTGAATTGTCATTGATAATCAAGCATGTAGTGTTAGAAATTTAAATTTTGCAACACATTTAAAATCTGGATGTATTTTTATTTTGTTTTTTGATAGATAAAAAAGTACTAATATGTCTGGGAAATATGTACTGGAATCTTGAAATACACTGTGCTCATGATCTATGGTATACAGAATTCTTAGGATTAAAGAATTTCAGAGATTGGGGGTCCTAATAGGATAATATCGTCTAGACACATTTTGAAATAATATAGAATATAAATATAAATTTATAAAATATAAGTATAAAATAATATGCATAATATAAATATATAAGTATATTATAAATAATATAAGAATCTAGATTCGCTATTATCCATGTAATAATAATGTCACTTGGTTGATTCTAATAGGAAATGATTTTAGTATATGAGGGGACTTCAAAAAGTTATTGGACAGATGGGATTAAAAGATAAGCTTGTTTTGGTGCAAGTAATTGTTAAAATATGTGCATTTTTTTCATAATAATTTTTGATGAAGTTTCTGATAACCCCTGGTACATTGTTACTATTCTGAAGTATAGTTTTCTTTCTTGTAATGATGTAGTCACCTTGTTACCTGTCAGCATGTAAAGTTCTCTGTTGTCTCTTTTACCTGCTATACTGTAGCACAGTGATTAGATACGTTTAATATATTCTTTATTAGGGAATTTGTGTTTCTTCTTAATTTACTTTTAAAGATTTTTTTTTTAAGGCAGAATTACAGAGAGAAAGGGAGAGACACACACAGAGAGATCTTCTATCTGTTGGTTTACTCTCCGAATGGCCCCAGTGGCCAGAGCTGGGCCATGCTGAAGCCAGGAGCCTGGAACTCCATCTGGGTCTCACATGTGGGTATAGGGGCCCAAGTACTTAAACTATCTTTCACTGCTTTCTCAGTCACATTAGTAGGGAGCTGGATCAATAGTGGAGCAGTTAGATTTGAACTGGTACCCATATGGGCCGCTGGCATTGCAGGTGGTGGCTTAACCTACTGTGTCACAATGCTGACACCTCTTAATTTTTTTATAAGTATAAATATACAATGAAATTCTTATACCTGCTTCTACATATAAGATGTAATCATCATATATCTTTTGTTCCTTGGATAATATTCATAAAAGTAGAATTTCTAGGTCAAACTGTATTTATATTACTTATTTTTACTTGTATTGTCAGATTGTTCCTCAAAAAAGCTTTTTTAATTTTTTATGTTAATACCCTGTGACAAAGCAGGCCCTTGCCAACCCTGTGGTGAGACCCTTTTTTCATCTGTATAAAACAGATAAACAAGAATATTATTTTATGATCTTAATTGGCAGTTCTTGGAAATAAAGTGTTTATATGTTTGTTAGGGCCTGTGAATTGCCTGTTAATCTGTCCTTTGTGCCTTTTATTACTGAACTGTTCTTTTGCTTGTGTTTTTTAGAGAGCTGATTAATCTTGATTCCCATACACTGCAGATATTTTTACAAGTTTTTTCTTTAGATTTTTAACCTTGTTTAGAGTTAAAAATGAATGACTTTAAGAGGCTTATCAAGTCTTTATCAGATATACATGCCTTTCTGAGCTTTGTATAGCCCTTACCATAGATCTGTATATTGCTGATACTTGGAGTGTTTGGTGGTTGAGAGTATTTATGGTTATAGGAATGTATTTAGCTATTCAAAAGTCTCCCCTGTGCACATGGTTTGCCATGAAGCAGATGCTGAATGAATGAATGAGTGCATGCTTGAGAATGACTGTGTTAATGGATGAGTAGATGAGTGAATTTTTTTGAAAGATTTATTTATGAAAGGCAGATCTACAGAGAGGCAGAGGCAGAGAGAGAGAAATTGATTGATCTTCCATCTGCTGGTTTACTTCTCAGATGGCCACA